AGCCATCCATGAAATGCAAATTAAAACAACACTGAGATACCATCTCACCCCACAAAGAATGGCTATCATAAAAAAATCAACCAACAATGAATGTTGGAGAGGCTGGTCGGAAAAAGGAACCCTTCTAAACTGCTGGTGGGAATGTAGAGTGGTACAACCTTTATGGAAATCAGTGTGGAGACACCTTAAAAAACTAGGATTGCAAATGCCATTCAAACCAGCTGTCCCCTTACTGGGAATTTAGCCAGAGGAACTGAGAACACCATATCATGGTGATATATGTGTACTTATGTTTATAGCAGCACAATTTGTGATAGCAAACCTTGGAAACAACCAAGATGACCATAACCTGAGGAATGGTTGAAAAAGATGTGTTATTTTTATACAATGGAGTATTACTCAGCTACAAAGAATGATAAACTTGAAGCCTTCATGTTTAAGTGGATGCCACTTGAAGATATACTCATCAGTGAAATAAACTAGACTCACATGTGTAAATATCATATAGTCTCCCTAGTATAAGAACTCAAAAGAAGAAATCCAAATAGAAAGGTAAAATACAATTAAAAGGAAAGTGAGAACTTGAGGAGTAGACAATGAAGAGAGGGCAAAGAGAAAAGCTAGGAAACATGACAGGAGCAAAGCCATACATTTATACGCACAAGATGGGTAAGGCAAAGATCCTGAGAAACTGCAGCATGTTTTTGAAAGTAGCATTTAATTGGTTGGATTCTCTCTCTGACTAACTATATATGCTGATAGCTGTGAACTAAGCAACTGTACTGAAGATAGCAATGTGTAATGGTAGGGTCATGCTCAGAATGCCTGCCATTCCAGTCTTCTAAATATGTACTGCTTGTCATGACATACCAATTACTGCCATACTGTCTCTCAAGTAAATGTTTGTTTAGAAAAAAAAAAGGGCAATAAATGAAAACAAGAGACAGGAAAGAAAATGTCACAGGACAGTCCTGCTACAATGCTGTATATGGTTAGATTTCTTAATTTCTGTGTAAAATTATGTAATTGTTTATTCATATTTTTCAAATATTTTTTATTTTTTAAATTTTTGTCTTCATATTCTGCAGGTCTTAAAGTTTAATGTGTCAATACTTGATGGAAAATACCTGTTCCATGTTATGCCTAAGATGTTTGATATTCAGACAGTTAGGTTAAACCCAACTGCCTATGTAATAAGGTAAAAATAATCTCCTTTTTTTGAGGGTTAATAACCTAAATTTGCAGACTAAAAATCAGAGAAAAAGAAAGGCTGCAAGGACAACCTACATTTTGGCCCTAGCCTTTCAAGGTTTGTGAGGACTCAGGACATAGGAGAACTTATACTGTGATATTTTGTAACTCAGTTGTGTCCCAAATTTTCTGATCAAGGAGATTATGGGGCCACAGAGTTATGTGATCGATGATGTACAGTGTGTCTAACATGAGGCACATGGAGAGAAAACATTCTCTTAGGCTTTCACAGAGAGCAAATTGGTAAAGCAATGGCCATGACTCATCCACATTGCTGACACTGACAAAGGATCTACAAACTGCGTTATAGGGTTTCAAGTTAAATCCTGAGGGGATTTGACTGAACTTGTCAGATCCAAAAGTTACATTTCTTGTTATATAGGTCTTGCTTTATGTTGGTCTTAACCATTCATCAGAAAAGTATGAAAACGAAATATAAAAAGCAAAGCCACATTAATATGCTGAGCTGTAAAAAGCTCAAGTCAACAACTTTGGATAATGCCAGTCTTACAGAAAACCCACTACTATTATGGACTACTGGACTCTATTGGGAGATTCTGCTGAATTCAAGCACCTACAATATTTAAATGACAATGGAATGCCCTTCTCTGACAAAACTAACCATAAAAGTGGGATAGAAATGAACGACCCTTTTGTATCTGTATACTCAAAATAGCTAGGATAGATATACAGCTCTATTCTCTTAATTCAATGAATAGAGAGGTTTGTTATAATAGTGTTTTTGACAGGATATCATGTCTGCATCTTGTATAGTGAATAACCACTAAGACAACAATAAGCAATGTATTAATTACTGTAAATGTGCCAGTAATTGGTTGTGAAACTGTCTCATTGATATTTCTTTCTCAATAAAATTATTTTTTAAAAAGCACTTAATCACAGAACTTGCTGTGGAAATAGAAATATTCCACCCTTTCTCTGCTTACTATAAGAACCATTGGCCTTTAATGGCTGCTGGGCTCTTGAACTATGGCTAGTGTGAAAGAGGAACTGAATTTTAAACTCCATTTATTTGAAATGAGTTTAAATTTAAATAGACACATGGGGTTAATAGTTACTACATTGCATAGCAGAGATGTAGAAACAAGTGGAGAAGCTAATTTCAAAGAAATGTGTCCTCTAAATGATTGTAGACACCAAAATGAAGTGGACATAGCTGAAGATAGTACAATTTTGACTCTAACAATGTTTTAATCTGCAAAGTAATATAATAATCCATATCTTTTTTCACTTTTGAAAAGTAGACCATCCATATAATTTAAATAGCGTTATCCTATTTTATCTGTATTTATTTCAAATTTTCAATTTCCAGGTGAATAATCGCTCAACTGTCAGATGACTAGTTGCTCCTGTCCGGAAGCGCCTTACTTCATCTATTTCCAGGAAGAAGCAGCCCCTTCACACTGCAGCATTTAGAACTATGCAGTGGAAGCTCTTCAGTCTTGGTATTCCCAGAACTGAGAGCAAGTAGCTAATATTTTCTGCAAAAAGTCTCTTTACAGCTATCTGATCCCATGCAGTGCTAAGAAAGCAGGTGCTTGTATACCCAACATCTTGCTTTTTTAATAGTCAGGGAATAGACCCTGTTCTTGTTTTCTTCAAAGTAGCTGGGTAGACATGGTGGTTTATCACTAAGAATAAGATTTCAGGTATACTATGTGCAGCAGATTCTTTTTCTTTGTGGAACAAAATTGTAGAGAAGAAAGTCTATACAAATGAAATGGCGTAATAGTGAAATGTGTCACCATAGGGGAGAGTGGATAAGGCCATACCCTACATATCAGACTGGATTATTGGAAGCCAGGAGAAGGGAGACTCTCACTCTTTAATGCACTGGCACCACATTTCAGAGGAAAATAAGCCAAGGATCAGTGCAGTATATGCCTTGCCCATTGTCACAAGGTTCATCAGCAGGGCTTCAATTCAAGCCCCAGGCACTCTGACTTTAAAGCTCTGATTCTGTTACCTGAAAATGATAGGCAAGTGATGTGATGCTGCCAGTCTTGGGTCCATGCTTTGAGAACCACTGTCTATAAAAACCATCAACTGACAATAAGGTTGGGTGGTGGGTGTGGCTGTTTTGCAGATGCTGTACACAGTCTAATCAAGATTTCCATAGCATGGGTAATGTTGTTAGCTTATCAAGTGCAGAGCATCCAAAGGAGCAGGAGGCAAGGCCTGTGCTGCCCCAAACCACACACTACTTCTGGAGAACTCTGCAGTGGGAAGGACAGCGCTAGACAGAGGTGTGTTTTCTGGGTAATGAAAGTGAAGTCCCTGGGAATACACAGCAAAGCAAGGCTGTCTGAATAGGGACCCAGGTGCTGTTCTAGCTGTGGGTGGAAGTCCTGTCAGCCTCTGGTTTTACTCTGAAGAACCATTAGTTATCATGAGAGTGATGTGGGGTAGGAGCATCTGTGTGAACCTGGAGCTGGAGGGAGCTTTGAGGTCTGACTCTGCCATGGCCTTTAATCTCTGGTAAGTTAGCACTGTGCTCTCAGTTTCTCCATCTATACAAGAAGGCTCTGAGTGGTTCTTACTTCACAGGTTGTTGCAGAGATAAAGGACGTATGGCATGAAAAATGCTTGCAGTAGTGTCTGCTGTAGACTCTGTGGCTGTCAAATGTTCACTGTTTTCATTTGTTGCACAGCTGAGTAATTCCACGAGATAAGAGGAGGACTTTCCAGGGCCCTCAGTGGTGGCTGCTATCAAAATCCTATCCTGGTGCCAGAGGGGAGTTTGATCTTCTACAATGCGCTGTGCTATAGGAGTAAAGTCACATGTATCTTCAAGATGTCAGTGTGGAGTGGTTACACACTGGAGTAACTTTGTATAAAAAAATACTCCTTTAAATCTTCCTTTTGCATAGTCTAGATGATCTGTGCACTCCAAAGGATACTGAGGAGCCAGATCTGTACATTTTCTCATTCACTTCCTGTAGGAGGTAACTGTCATCATTTCTATCCTAAACATGACAAATATGCAGCATTAGAGGTAAAGTGATAGCTAATCAGCAGGCCAGAATCTGGACCTGGACTTCTTGAGACCAGAGGCTATACTTCTTGGTAATTTATACATGAGAGGATATGCCTATTTATGGAGGGGTAAAAGGATTTGATTCCCAAATGCAACTTCATAGAAATAGAATATTTCATTTTCAATGTCTTTACCTCAGGACTTACTGGACAATAGAAATATCAAACTTCCATACACTTAAGAGCCAAACTATGCAGGGCTTGGGCACCTGGAACTATTACAGCATGCTTACTTACTGTTATATCTGTCCCATGTCACAGAATCTGATATAATAGGAGACTATTCAAAATTCTGGAGGGAAACTACCTTGTTTTTTTTTTTTTTTTTGTACCAGGAATCAAACTCAGGACTTCATGCTTGCAGTCAGGCAATGTGCCACTGAGCTATCTCCCCAGCCCTACCACCTTGAATTCAGCAAAACAATTAAGGAAGAATCCAGATAAACTTGCAAAAGATTTTAAACCAGGAGTTTCCACATTTGGAGATTAAGTATTTTGATTATTAGTAATCTTAGAACAACATGATTTCTCCTGTGCCCTTGGAAAGAAGTGCTCTCTTGTTTCCATAAGCAATTGCACTGGGCTCTCTTCTCTATCTGTACAGATATTCCAGCCTTTGGCTTTAAGGGAAGAAGCAGGGAGCAGCTTTGCCTGTGGCACTGCCTGCACACGTGCTGACCCCCAAGACGTACCTTACTGTTGAGGATCTGGAAAACCCTCTGCTGGAGTGTCTGGCCAGCCTTGGGCCGCACCAGGATATAAATGATTTTCAGATCTGGGCTGGTGCGAAACAGCTTCTCCATCAGCACTTTGCCCAGGAAGCCGGTGGCGCCTGTGATGAGAATGGACTTGCCGCCATAGAAAGCTGCGATCATTGACATGATTCCTCCTTTTCCTGTAATTTATGGCTCTGGCAAGAGGTTCCTACCAAGGAAGAGAAATTACAAGAGGTTGTAGTCTCAAAAGTTTTAAAAAGCGATGTCACTCAAAATGTTTCTCTCTCACACTTCCCCAAGCTTGGAAGGCAGGAAAAAGAGGTTGGACTGCACGAGGTGTGAGGATAACATGATTCTTTCGGATCAATACCTACAGAGCTCACTCCATGCCCTAGTGCTTATGCAAGCACCCCTGAAACAGAGTTGGGCACAGCATGGCTCCTGCTGTCCAGGAACTGATTCCATCCAGGGAAGAGATGGACACACAAAGAGATCAATGAACACAAAGTAGCAAGTGATAAGACGATGGGCACACAGACAAGGGATATGGAGCAGGACCTGAAGGTTTGCAATGGGGTGTGTAGGTTGTGAGACCCCAGCTGACAATGAAGTGGGAAGCATGAGGATGACCCCACCACCTGGGAAGCCAAAGCTGAGAAGAGCTTCACGTTTTAAGCCGTTAAGATGCAAGTAGTGCTTCACTGCAACCTTAGAGAAAACTGCAGTGTAGCACTGCACTTCATGGAGGATGACTGTTCCTGTCCTTTCCAGCCATTTCTGACTGCATGTGTTATTCTCTTCCTTCGCTTTTGTGGGCGGGGTGCTAACTTCTCTTTTGTGTATCACTCCTGGCTTGAAACACAAGCCAAAGAATGTAAACAAGGGAGGCCAGGCCAAGTGCTGTGGTGAGGCCCAAAACAGCACCAAGTGCAATCTGGGGCTCAGTCCACGTAAGGCCTCTGTTTCAGGGAGTTGTCAAAGCAATGGACGGATGCCACATGCAGTATGGGCGTTCCGTTGCTGCCCAGAGAAAGCACTTCATGGTGTAAGAATGCAACACAAAGCGTCTTATCTTCAAGTTCAGTCAGAGATTTGATTCAAAGCAGCAGCAGAGTGCCTTGAACAGAACCATGCAGGCAGGGTGCAGGAGAAGATTTGCTATCTGTTCACTAACTCTGTCAGTGGTAGAAAGTTCTCCATGCTCCCTGGAGAGAAGCCCATAGAACACTCTGTCATCAACTCTGGGGACAGACCCTGACATCAAAGCTTGTGAAGAAGAGAAAACAGGTTGAAAAAGTCAATATCCCCCTCCTGATGCTGGCCCAGACTCTTCTGCTGATACCTTCTTTACTCTCAGTGGCTTTTCATGGCTGTTATTTGTATTTTGAGGATCTTGTGGCTGTTGTCTGGGGTAGAACTTTGATTTAGTGGGATTCATTCACTCATCAGTTTATTCAACAAATAACATTGAGTCTTTACTATGCAGAATTCTAAGCTAAATTCTGAAGGTGAGCCACTGAATGAGGAACATAGGTCCCTGCTTTCACTCCAGAGCAGAGGCAGGCAACACCAAGAAAGGCTTCACAGATTGTCAGTGAATGACAGAAATCAAACCAAGCATCAGTACCATTCACGGTGGGAAATCTGAATTTCAAATCACTTTATGTATGCTCACTACTGTATAAGCTCCTTTTACTGAGAACTGATGTAAGAATTATTATTTTGGAAAACCCATTTATAATGTGCAAAGAGTTATGAATGACTTTTAAGCTCATGTAGCATGATACTTCTCATACATAGTCCACAATAACTTCTCAAGAATTTAGCATTTGGCAAAGTACTGTATTATCCTTGCTTTGCCTGCCTCAAAGCAAAGTGATGTCAATATCACTTGACAAGGTTGAATGCAACATAGTGCCTGGGATTAGCATAGAAATTCTAAGCAAGACCCAATCCTATTCCTGATACTTGGAGCTGTGAAACTTCATACAACTAATGTGACCAGACTTCTCTTTCCTTATAAAGTGGGGATCACAGCAGCATCTGCTTAAAGGGCTGTGGAGGGGATGAAACTAAAACACATGAAACCCTTAAATCTCTAAGTCGCCTATAGAATGCACTCAAATATTGGCTAATAATACTGTCACTGAATTTTACTTTTGCTCTTAATGTTTCTAGTTTTTCCTTTCAGCATTTATTTTAAAAGTGCTGCCTTATTCGTTACCTCCTTTTGGAATTAAGAAGAGACAATTTATAAATCAATCATTCATAAGAACCACATAAGGTATCTTCACCAAACTCAACTCTTCTTGATGCTAAATCTTACCTGTTCTTATACAAATAAGCATGTTCAGGTACCATACTTGTTTAATATGATACTAGGTATACTTAGATATGGTTAGCGGGAAAATACAGGTGGAGACCTGACTTCAGAACTTCACTTGTTCTGAAGATGTCAGGTGCGTGTCTTCAAATATCATGCTTTTTTTTTTTTTAAGAAATGCAAGGGCCATGGAGATGGCTCAGTAGAATAAGCACCTGCCTGGCAAGTGCAAGGGCCTGAGTTCAATCCCCGGTTCTGCCAAAAAAAAAAAAAGAAAGAAAGAAAGAAAGAAAGAAAGAAAGAAAGAAAGAAAGAAAGAAAAGAAAGAAAGAAAAGAAACGCAAACACACCATTAAGGTATTTTTGTCCTCAATACAGTTTTGTAATATACAGTTTATAAATTTAGACAAAAAGTAAGATGTTTAGTGAACCCATCTCTTCTCCTTCTTTGCCTCTTCATTTCCCTCTCTCCCTTCCTTCCAAATGAACTTGTGTCTTGTGAAATAAAGGTATGTGCCGTGTGTTCCCAAATAATGGAACTTACCTACTCTGTCTGGAGTCCACATACTTCTCAAGCACAACAAAAACCATGCCTTGAGTACACTTGATGCTTTGACAAGAAAACAAGACCTAACCTGGTCCAGTTGTCATGGGTTTTTGACAGAGTGGCTAGGGTCATGATTCTAAACAGTTTAACTGATTATGTAAGATGCTGAAGAGAATTCTTTTCTTCTACTTCTGATTTGCAATCTCAGGATATGGATTGATTGCTGGCCCCAGAAATGCCAATGTCATACTCTTCAAAACCCAACTTCAATGTGCTTCATCTCTGCAAGGTCCAGGAATTTTTAACTATTACTTTAATCCGTTTCTAAAAATTGAAATCATTTTACACTCAATAGTGGAGGAGGGGCTGGGGAGATGGCTCAGTAGAATAAGCGCTTCCCTGGCAAGCGCAAGGGTCTGAGTTCAATCCCTGGTTCAGCAAATAAAAAAAAAAACCAAAAAAACCCAAAAAAGTGGAAGAGCCCCAATGACAGGAGGAGAAGTACGCTCAGCACATCCTCGGTTGTAGTCTGCCCTTCATAGTTTCCCAGAGAAGATGCTTTCTATGTCTCATGCTCACAGTATGGCTTGTGAGAAGCCTGTGTCAGAGCATTAACCTCCCACTCTTCCTGAATAACGCAGACTATCTGATGCTTGAAGGAAAAAGAGGCTGACAAGAATCAATCTTCCTTCCTGGTAGCATGCCTGCAAGCATGGTGAACATTCCCCAAACCCAAAGAACTTTCTGTAAGAAGTGTGGCAAGCATCAACCCCACAAAGTGACACAGTACAAGAAAGGCAAGGATTCTCTATATTCCCAGGGAAAGCAGAGTTGTGACAGGAAACAGAGTGGCCATGGTGGACAGACTAAGCCAAGTTTCTGGAAGAAGGCCAAAACTACACAGAAGATTGTTCTGAGGCTTGAGTGTGTGGAGCCCAATTGTAGATCAAAAAGAATGCTGGCTATTAAGAGATGCAAGCATTTTGAACTGGGAGGAGATAAGAAAGGGCCAAGGGATCCAGTTTTAAATTTTCATGCTTTGTTTTATTGTGAAGACAATAAAATCTTGCTGTGTTCAAAAAAGAAAGGAAAAAAAAAAGAATCAGTCTGTTTTTATAGAATGACTACTACATATAGCCAGGCACCACGCAGGCACTAGCAATAGCAGTGAACACACCTTTTGTACTTTAGAGTCTTTAAAGAGGATTGTTTTTCAGTGATGAATTATTGTACGTCAGCTGAGAGTTTTCACTTTATTATGGAGTATTTTTTTTCTCCTAAAGATCACCAGTTTTCACAGTCAGGAGTAGAGACAAGTAGTGTTTATTTTCTCCTTGGTAATAAAATGAGGCTATTCTCCTTTCCAGAAAACATATGTTAGAACAGTGATTCATTATAGTGAATCAAGTTATATATTTGTTGGAGATTTCAGTACCTGGAAACTTTAATTTCCTTCAGTTGGTTCTTGTGGAAAATTCAAAATTAGGACTTAAACACTTGAGGGCGACATATTTACCCAAATTTCTTAGTAATATTTTAATGAGTGAGCCGGATGATCCAGTGAATCCCATTAACTAATGGTTCAGTTGCCTCGTTGAAGATTCCAAGAATGCTATGGATTGAAAGAAACTCCATAGACACAAACAGTTTTGGCTGGCAATGGGCTAGTTTTTAAAAAAGAGCCATTTTTTAAAACTCAGTCAGTCAAACTTTCTATCCTTTATTAAAGTTAGACACAGAAATCCTTTCAATAACTATGTTAAATCAATGAAGGAGAATTATTCACACAATTGTACTCAATGAAAAAAGAACACAAGCTTGTATAAACATAATGTCCATGACAAACCCTTGGTATTCCACCAATAGAATGAAATAAATGAAAGTAGGTGTATAATACTATAGTGGGATTAAAAGTGAAGAGTTTTGTTCTATATTACCTTTTCATAATGATAAAAATGTAATTTAATAATATAGAATTTAAAAGAAGTTCTTAGAAATTAGTGACAGGATGTCTCCTCTCTTTTCTATGTATTCTAGAAATGTGAAGAAATTTGCGAAACAAATTTCCTTGGTTTAAAACATTTCAAATCCACACTCCCAACCTGGTACTGAAGATTAAATCCAGGACCTTCACAAAGAATGACACTCCCAATTTTCTTTTACCTTATTTTTGAGAGGAGGTCTTGCTAAATTGCTTAACTGCCCAAGCCAGGCTCCTACCTCCTGTCCTGAGTACCTGGGATTGCAGGTGTGTGCCACTGCTTAGTATACTAAATTATTTTTTAAAGTGTGGGCAAGTGACATTACACACTGTACTGAGCAGGCTGTAATTTCTAAAATTTGTTCACTGGAGTTCCAACAATGAGGTGATAATGGGAGTAATGAGGAGGTAATTAGGCATTTTACAATATAAGGTATTACTGTATATCTAAGATACGAGTCAATTCTTGCAAAGACTGTAAATGGGATCAAGAGAGCCACAGTCAAGTGTAAATCATGATGTTTTCTTCTTCCTTTTGATGATTTATAAATTGAGTCACATTACAGTAAAATAATAATTGATCTTCTAGCCCAGTGAGAGCAGGACTCCAACTGAATCACTGGTAGGCCAATGTATGTCCTAATAATTTTCTTAGAATCAAACACTTTTAAAAGAGATGACATTGGATTATCATTGAATAATGAAGCAAACGATTGTGTGCATTTGTGTGTTGTTTATATTCCAAGGCAGGGGAGCCAGAGAGGCAGAGAGGCAGAGGTTTTCACTGTGAAACATTGTCTCATGAAATTGTGGAGGTTTCACAAGTCTAAAATCTACAGAGTAGCTCAATGAGAGGGAGAACCAGGAAATGCTCAAGCTGCAGTTCAGGTGCACAGGCTATTTGTTGCTAGCATTTCTTTTGGCTTTGAGGAAACACACCTTCATCCCACTGAGGAACACTGGGTGAGGTCCACCCACATGATGAAGGTTAACCTGCTTTACTCAAAAGTCCATCAAAATTTTAAAAAACTTTATCCAAATACTCTTTCCAGAATCATCCAGAATAACATTTGACCAAAGATTTAGGCACCACAGCCTCATCATAATGACAGAAAAAATAACCACCACAATTCCTCTTTAATCATATGTAACCTAAAGTAATATACAGTAACAAGATATAATTCCACCTAACATGATACAACTATCCTGCACACAACAAAAATTACAGTAACCCTCCCCCAAAAACAGAATATAAATTTCTTGGTTGATGTCTCTTATTTTTCTTGCTATTAGAAAAATAAATACTTAGAGGGAAAGTTAATACTTAAATAGTACCATGCAATGTCAATGTGGCTTATGTTACTTGCTAAAGAGATAAGACAGGTAAGATACAGAGATCTGGTGGACTCCTAAGTTAGGGCCAGCCTAGTATATAAACAACTGGGGTTATGAGAAGAATTTCAGGTGTAACTTACAACTGATGAGTTATGACCTGAATGTTGGCAGCTAAGACTATATAAGCATCACTCTGAGCTCAGATGTGTGTGTTTGTGGATGTGATTTTAGTCAGTGCTTTATATAGTTGTTATGATTACCACTATCAAAATGGTCCCAAAAAGCTAGAAAAGAAGCTAAGGGAGGAAAGGAATGAAATCAATTACAATAGAAAAGAAGAACATTGCGGATAAATATAAGAAGTATTCATGTGACCAATTGTGGTAATACATACATGTTGAGCGCCACCTGTTCAACAATGTTACAGAGAAAAGATTTGTATAACGAAGCTAGTATTGCTAAATGTATTATTGAAATGAGTAAGTTGTGATAATGAATGGTGTAAAATGAGGTAGAAAGGCCACTATGAGTGAGGATAGATGAAAGGCACATGGTTGGTAATAGTCTGAGTATAATTTGTGAAAAATCCAGGGCTATAAATGCAGATCTTTTAAAGAATAATCCGTTAAGGAATGATAACAGAGAAACATTTATACCAGTAAGGGGTGGTTTCAATTTTAAACTGAGACCCAGGCTTCACAGTGTAGCTAGGCATGGTGAAGCAGCCAGTGCTGATAAAAGGACTGTGGAAAATTACATGCACCACTGTGAAATGATGACATTGAAAAACGGCTTTTTTTCTCATCAAGTTTTTCAACTGTGATGAAACCAGCCTTTTCTAGAAGAAAATGGGTAGAAGAGCATACATTAACCTAGTAAAAGAAGAAAATGCCAGACCACAAGCCCGTGAAGGCTGGGCTAACCTTACTACTATGTGCCAATGCAAGGAGGGACCTCAACACAAAGCCTTTCTCAGTTTACCACTCTGAGAACCCCTCGACTGTTCATAAAACATGGTCATGAAGAATAGGCTACAGGTCATGTGGAGATCTAACATAAAGCCTAGGTAACAACAGCTCTCTTCCTTGGGTGGATAAGGGAGGCTTTTGTCCTACTGTTAAGAACGATCTAGAAGACAAAGTATTTCCATTCAGGATCTCCTCATCATGGACAATGTTCCTGCTCACCCATGAGATCTGGAAGATGAACTGGTTAAAGAAGTACCACAGTTCTCAAATTGAGTTCCTCTCATCTAATACAATTCTACAACTGTAGTCTATAGATCAACAGGTCATAGCTAACTTTAGGAAGCAATAGCCAAGGAACTGTTTCAGAAGTGCTTCCAGATGGTCTCAGATAAAATTTAAGTCTTAAAGAGTTCTGGAAAAAGCATTACAGCATCCCTTCCTGTGTGGGGTTAACTGAGAAATTCTGGGCCAATGTATTTCTAAGAATACTGAGAACTTTCTAGAAGAAAGTGCAGCCTAAAATTATACAGGAAAGGGACTTTGAAAGCTGTGTAGAGGAGCCTGAGCCTTCAACAGACCCAGTGGTTGAGCCCTCAATTACTGTAGCAGAATCCATAGGCTTGCAGGTAGACAGTGGTGATGTTGCGGGGCTGTGGAGGAGTGCTCAGAGGAGCTGTCTACACAGGAGTTTCGGCAACTTCTGGCTGGGCTACAGAGAATGGCAGCTGAGGGGCTTTGTGAAGAGGTGAAATATCAACAATCAGTGCAGCAGAGTTCTTCTGAAATAAGGGAAATCCTGAAGAAATCGACAGAGCTACAAACATTTATAGAGAATACATAGCCAGACAGAGAAAAAGCCAATTGTTGTATTCAGTGTCATGTCATGCTATAGAGTAATGTTAAAGAAAAGACAAAGAAGACAATCTTAGACCAGCTTTTAGTTATGAAAATGCTGAGACTCAGGGAGCCAGAAGCGGGCCTTAGTAGGCTACAGATTCTTTGAAGGAGAGACAGGACACAAGAGAGCTATATTCCTGATGTCCTTATAGAAGGGGACTTTCCTTCCGAACAATAACACCTTCCACTTTATCCTTCCTTCCTGCAAGCCAAAGATTTCAACTTGAATAGTGAGTACAATATATAATTGTTTTTGATAAAATTTCACATCTTATAAGTTTTGGTTCATATATTAGGACACTTACTGATATTTCTGGTAAATTATACACATTATTAAATACTGTTTTATTAAGAAAAGGTTAGTTAAGGGATACTTTGGGAAGTCTGGAATGCATTATAGGTATTTCCATTATTTCTTAAGAGAAAAGTATTCTTGACTTACAACCAACTTGAATTACATCCAGCCACCTTAATCACAGATATATCAATACTCAGAGACATGTTTGGTCAGTGATGGCAAACCTACGGCCCTTGCCACAGTGGGCCATTTGTATCTTTGAAAGTTCTAAAATATTTGCCATCACTGCTCTAAGAGATCTCCTGTATTCCAGACTCAATCTTCCTTACTTCTCCTCTGAAGTGGCAATCAAATTTCCCCTTGGCAGTCAGGGCCAATCACCCGTGTCACCACAATACACTCCTCATTTGCCTGTTAATTCAGTCTTGATGAATCCAAAATGGCCAGGCAGTAGCATCAACTTTCAGATCAATGAAGTCACTATGTGTCTCTTACTGAAGGATTCTTCCCTTAGAACCAAGACCTCATAGATGAGCAGAGCATAAGGTCACTGTTGCAAATAATGAGTGGAAATTCCCATTTCCAACCCTTGTTCCTGGACCCACACATCCCTGCTTGTGGGAAAAACAGTACCTCACATTAGACAAGGGTTCAGAGAATAATCAGCTTTCTCGAGACCTGCTCCAGGTTGCAACTGGTGCCATAACTGAGTCTTCAATAGTCCCTCCCATCATTCTATCAAGCCAGCTACTTCATAATGGTAGAGAACACGGCAAGACCAGTGAATGCAACAAGTACAGGCCCAGTGCTCCCTTGTGGTGAAATGGGTTCCTGATCAAAAGCAACATAGCTGCAGTACTAGGATGGTGCATAAAGTATGTTATAAGTTCATACATGGTGGTTTTGGCTGAAGTGTCACAGGAAGAAAAAGAATATCACTCTTCAGAATAATTATTCATTCCAACAAGAATGAAACACTTTCCCTATCATAATGAAATTGTCCAATTCAACCAACCTGCTGCCATGTACCTAGGTGATTATGGGGAATGGCGTTATCAGACTCAGTGCTGAACCTGGCTGCTGCAAGATGGGACACTCAGCAGTGCCCCCAGAATGGCGTTGGTGTGAAAAGTCCACGTGCTGAATGTGTGCAAATGTCACCCCTGTCACCTTTGTCCATTTGTTCTTGAGCCTGGGCTTACTTACAAACAGTAGACACACCTAAAATCTTAGTGTTTTGGGAGGCTGAGGCTGGAGGATTGCAAGTTTGAAACTAGCCCAGACAATTTAGTGACTTAGCAAGACCCTGTCTCAAAATAGAAATTGCCACTAACAACACTAATGAGATACTATGGAATGCCACACACATTATCTGTTCACTGAACAGGACTTTGTTTTTATGTGACTACATTTATAATATATATCTAGGATAGGGTGTCTAAGGCTTTAAAAGACCATTTAATATGTTTCTAGGCACATACTTTCCAGAATTCAGCTTTCAAGGGGAGGAAGTAACTAAAATAGGCATTCATGACTTTTCCTATTACAAATTCCACTCCATCAGACTTTAAGAGCACTGTAGAAAAAAGGACATACAGGTATAGCCAAGAGACCTAACAGATACTAGGCAAAAGGACACCAACTTATCATCACGATAGTTCTCTGGTCTGGGTTGGTGACTGCACTCACTCACCTATTACTGCACCAAGTGGCACTGAGGTAGAAGCTCTTTGTAAGCATAGTTGCTAGGTGATGGGCATACAGTGAAGATGTAGACCCTGACCTGTCAAGACAAGTGCTCTGTCTTTCCTCTTGCAAAGTTCTCAATGGCTAGAAGTAACTTTAATCTCATTACTAGCCTCAAAAACCATCCTCAACACAGGGTAACTTTACAACCTTATTAGAAAGCTTGGGGTTTCTTCTGGACTTAGGTAATTCCTAGAAGTGACACAAATGGGAAGGACACTTTCAGGCTTCTAAGGAATTCAAAGGTTTTTTGTGTATAATTGAGCTCCCACTTTGACTGTGGTGTAATTCCACTAAAAGGGTCAAGTTACACCAGTCTTATCTTAGCTTCTCCACCACATCTGCCTATTTCCGATTACAACACCAGTACTACGTTAAGGAAAATATTCCAGATAGTGACTTAAAATACTTGTAAATCCCAAAATTATTATACAGATTCAATATAATCCCAATTGAAATACTATTAGCATACCTCAGAAACTTAGAAGAAATATTCCTAAAATTCACCTGCAACCAGAAGGGACCTTGAATAGCAAAAGCAATCCTGGGAGAGGCAGGAGGCATCAAAATCCCTGACTTGTTGGGGCCGGGGAGATGGCTCAGTAGAATAAGTGCTTCCCTGGCAAGTGCAAGGGTCTGAGTTCAATCTCCTATTCCACCAAACAGCAACAACAACAACAACAAAAACCCCACAAAAATCCCTGACCTGAAATTATACTACAAAGCTATTGTGATAAAATCAGCATAGTACCAGCCAAAAAAGAGACATGAGAGTCAATGGAACAGATTAGAAGATGCAGACACAACAAGCACCCTGAAGCACCTTAGCTTTGACAAAGGGGCCAAACATGTTCACTGGAAGAAAGATAATCTCTTTAATAATTGATGCTGGAAAAACTGGCTTTCCACATGCCAAAGATTAAAATTAAACCCATTGTCTATCACCATGCATTAAAGTCAAAATAGATTAAAGATGTAAATATTAGAAACAGAAACACTAAATCTACTGGAGGAGAAAGTAGGTAAAGATCTTTAAGACACAGCTTAGGCAGAGAGTTCATGGACAAAAACCAAGCTGCATGGGAAATAGATAAAAGAATCAACTACTGGGATCTCTTTTTTATTTATTTTTTTCTGTATTTTTAGGGAAGGATCTGTGGGTTTTCATGGTCTCACTACTAGATTGGACTTGTAGTGATTCTAGTGATTCTCCTGTTTACAGTCTCCCAACTGCTAGGATTATAGGCATGGACCACCACGCCCAGTCTCAGTCGCCATCTCAGTGTGCCCTGGGGGCGCAGCCAGCATGGCAGGCCTGGGGTTGAATCACCTGCCCCTGTGCCTGCTTGCAGGTACTTTAATCCACTGAACTATTTGGCCAGCCCTGGATCTCATATTTTTGAAAAGTTTCTAACATTAGAAGAAATCATTAACAGAGTAAAAAGAAAATACACAAATTAGGAAAAAAATTTAGCCAACTGTTCCTCAGGCAAAGGACTTCTAGCTAGAACACAGAAAGAATTAAAAAAAAATTAGGCTCATAAAATTCAAAGATCTGATCTGAAAATAGGAATCTGAGATAAATATACATTGGTCATTTGAGAAATGTAAATTAAAACAACACTGAGATTTGATCTCTCCTCAGAAATAATGCCTATCATCAGAAAGTCAACCAATAAATGCTGGAGGGGGTGTGAGGATATGTTATTTTTCCAAATGAACTGAAAACGTAGCATGGTGATATATGTGCACCCATGTTTATAGCTCCACAATTTGTCATAGCTAAACCTTGGAAACACCCAAATGCCCATCAATTGAGGAATGGATAAAAAACATGTGGTAAGGGCCAGCCCGATAGATCAGCAGACTGAAGAACCTGCTTAGGCAGATTGCAGGGACCGGGTTTGATCTCCAGCACCACAGCCATGCTGGCCCCACCCCTTAGTCACACTGAGATGGTGACTAAGGCTGGGAGCAGTGGCGTGTGCCTGTAATCCCAGCCCTTGGGAGGCTGAAAACAGGAGGCTCACTATGAGTCCGATCTATGTAATGAGATTCTGCCCAAAATACGAAAAAGTGGTATTTTTACACAATGGATTATTATTTAGCTATAAAAAAGATAAATCTGAGGCTTCTGTAGATAAATGGATGCAACTAGACACTGTATTGGTAAGTGAAATAAATCAGACCCACATATGTAAACATTGTATTGTCTCACTAGAGTGAGAACCTGAGAGAGTAAATAAAAAATGAAGGTACAATAGACACTGTGAAAGGGAAAGAATTTGTTCAATGGGAAGTAAAGACTAGGATTAGAAAAAGGACAAGAGAAAGAAGCGAAGAAGATATACTTATGTATAAATATGATAATTTGGATAATTGTACCACCAATCTTTGCTGGTCTTTTGAAAGGAGGAGTTAATGTTTAAGTTTTTTTTTTTTTAATTTCTTGTAACTTTTGTGTTGTTGTTTTATTTTTTAACCAATTTTGCATGTTTATATCTGCTGATCTGAATAACTAATTTGAAGATAACTCATGCAATACAGCAAAGTCATTGAATTCCTATTACTTTGTTTAGTGAAATTCTGTATTATTTCTAATGCATTTTTAAAAATTATTTTGTATTCTTAAAAAAAAGATATGGTATTTTTATATGATGGAATATTACTCAGCTATAAAAAAGATAAACTCAAGGGTTTTATAAGCAAATGGATGTAACTAGAGACCATATTCATAAGTGAAATGAATCAGCACTCACATGTGCAAGCATCGTATTGTCTCCCTAGTGCAAGAACCTGACAGATTAAATAGGATCTGAAAGGTACAATGGATAACCGTGAAAGAGAAAGAAACTGTTCAAAGGGAAGGAACAACTGGAATGAGGGAAAGGAGGAAAGAAATAAGGAAGAGAAAAAGAAATATATTATGTATATATACAGAATAGCTTGGATAATTGCATGGCTGATTTCTGCTGGTCTATTGAAAGGAACAGTTGTTGCTTAAAATGTGTTTCTCTTTTTAAAATGTTTTATACCTTTTTATTTGTTTATTTATATTTTAATGTAGGTATTTGGTACAGGGTCTCACTATGCACCTTGGCCTCGAACTGATCCTCTTGTTTGCAGCTCTCCAGCTCTGGGATTGCAGGCATGTGCCAACACACTTGGGCCTGGTCGCTGGCTCAGTGCACCCGGAGACAGGGCCAGCGTGGCATGCAGTACAGGAGATTGAACCCTGATCCCTGAGCTTGCCTAAGCAGGCACTTAGTCTGCTGAATTAACTCACTGGCCCTATTTTATTTTTTTGAGACAGGGTCTTGTTACACAGTTTGGGCTAGCCTTGTGCTCACTTTTGTAGCCCCCAGGCTGATCTCAAACTCTTTGAGATCCTCCTGTCTCAACCTCCAGAGTGCTGGGATTACAAGTATGCACCACCACACCCAGTTTTGGGCTGGCATTCCAGGGTTCCAGAGCCTAGACAGCATGCGGTGTGGAGATCAAACTCAGAATCTCGTGCTTGCCAGGTAGGTGCTTATGCCTCTAAACTATCTCCCCAGCCCTAACTTGAAAGCTTATGCTGCTGAACTATCTCCCTAGCTCTCCTTTTTTCTTTTATAATTTTTGACCAATTTTACACACTTATACCTGGTAATCTGAACAACTAATTTGAAGACAACAATATGTTATGTGACAAACATTGTTGGATTTGTATAATTTTGTTTAGAGAAATTTTGTATCATTTCTAATTTTTTTACTACTTTGTATTCTCTCAAAAAATTAAAATAAATACTTGTTGAGGGTGCACCTCTCCTTACTGAGCACCCACTACCTGAGCATATGAGAAAGAAGAACTTTCGTGGGTGCAACTGAGAAACTTAATATATAAACTAATGATGATGATTAACGTATCATGTGATGTTATAGTTTGGGTAAACAATATAATACAGGACACACTTTATAATATTATTTTATAAGATATCACCCAAGAATCATATACAAGAAGTATAGGTAATCTGTCCACACACCAAACACTATATAATACACTATATAATCCTATATATAACACCATATAATAC